GGAGGGAGAGAGATATAATCGCACTATAGAGAGGAGGCAATCAGCATCATGCTATCTTCATTGGGTCTTGTTTGGAAAGCTGAGTCTCCTCTCTATCAGAATAATGGCTTTTCGTTTGTAAAATTTTTGAGTTACTTTGGCTAAATGAATGACTTATGGTAACCTAAGACTCCATTTTGTAATATCCAATGTTTTAAAAGTTTGGTATTTAACAAACCTTTCAAAATCAAGCTCTAAGTTAAAATTTTTTAAAAATTAAGTCCCCTAAAGGACAAAAGACATATTCAGCTTATTTAATTTATTAAAATCATGCAGGAAACACTGTCAAATAGAAAATGGTGTTTAATTTTCTTTGGGTTATATTAATATAAATTTGTGATATAAAGTTATATGCTGCAAAATCGTATAAAATTCCTATAATTCTGATATGCCTCAGTATATGTCATCAGTAATAATTATAATTGTTGTGTTGAATTATTGTGTGTCACAGAGTTAACAAATTTCCTTGTCAATTGTGTCTTGGTGGCTCCCCTAAAATGTTTTTCTCATCCACAGACAACTGCTGTTTTAATTTGGTCCTCTATAGAAGATGGTTTTATGATCAGCTGTTAAAACTCTGGTATGTGCTCTTGAATGCAAGTTTCTGATAACTTTGGAGATTATGACATTAGAATAAAGGAAAAAAACTTTTAGAACTCTCATGGAAAGCTGAAGTGTTCATAAATATCAAACAGAAGTTAAATGCATGGACTAAACTAATAAAAGTCTGAAGTAACCTTTTTGTTTAAAATGCTGCTGATTAACTTCTTTTAAGCTATTTACAGCTTGTAGCAACTAAGTACACTCCTGTGAATAAAATTTGGAGCATATTTATTTCTACCTGATTTCTCCAGAATTTAAAAACTATTGGTGAATATTCTTAATTTATGGCAATATAGCTATTTGCATAAATACAATAAGAATCTGTTTTCTTTTGTAACAGGACACAATTGAAAAAACTGGTTATTTTACCAAGGGTTTGACTGGAATGGCATGCTTTCCTTTACGGAATCAAACTTGACTTGTAAAGCCAGTAAAAGCCCTTGGGAAAACTGGCCTCATACTTTGTCTATGCAGTCCCTGTACAGGGTTCCTAACCCATGGTAAGTATAGAATGTCACTTTCTGACAGGCCCAGGAGCCCCAAGTTATCTAGGGACATCAAGACGAGAGGAACTTACCCAACTCGTAAGTATTTGAAAGTACAAACCTATGGCTAGACTCAGCTTTAAAAAGTCTTATCTGAGATTCCTTATGGAACAGAGTTCCATCAAAGCCAATTTAAAAAGCCTATGTAAAAAATAATTATTCTAGCCAGGCGTGGAGGCTCATGCCTGTAATCCTGGCACTTTGAGAGGCCAAGGCAGGCGGACAGCCTGAGCTCAGGAGTTCAAAACCAGCCTGGGCAACACGGTGAAACCCCATCTTTACTAAAATACAAAACAAATCAGCTGGGCATGGCGACATGCGCCTGTAGTCCCAGCTACTCAGGAGGCTGAGGCAGAAGAATTGCTTGAACCCGGGAGGCAGAGGTTGCAGTGAGCCACGATCACGCCACTGCACTCCAGCCTGGGTGACAGAGCAAGACTCCCTCTCTACCAAAAAAAAAAAAAGGTATTCTTGCCACGTGCAATAGTTCATGCTTGTAATCCCAGCACTTTGGGAGACCAAGGTGGGCAGATCATGAGGTCAAGAGTTCAAGACCAGCCAGACCAACATGGTGAAACCCCATCTCTACCAAAAATACAAAAATTAGCCAGGTGTGGTGGCACACGCCTGTAATCCCAGTTACTCAGGAGGCTGAGGCAGGAAAATTGCTTGAACCCGGGAGGCAGAGGTTGCAGTGAGCCGAGATCACACCACTGTACTCCAGCCTGGGCGACAGAGTAAGGCTCCATCTCAAAAAAAAACACAATTATTCTTGATGCGCTTTATGAAGTCCCCAAACTAATGCTTTCAAATCTTTACTTTTAAAACTGGAAATTGCGCTCCTTATCCTAAAACTTGTTATTTACCTTATAGTAGACTGTCTGTTTAAATGCTGTACTAAAACTATAAAGATACTACTGCCTTTGTCATGAAAGCCTTGGAACCACAGCCTGGCCTGCATGAATATACTCAGACAGCTGCAAAGCAGTTCTACTCCTCTCACCTTACGGTCAACTCTGACCCCAACTATGCCTCCTGTCAGCATGAAGAAGCCAGAGCGATCGATGGCCTTTTCCCATCTTCACAGCGCACACCTTAAGAGTAAGATGCTATGAAACCTCAACGGGAGGGACTGAAACCACCTTTGTAAAATTATAACTGAGGGCCGGGCCCAGTGGCTCAAGCCTGTAACCCCAGCATTTCAGGAGGCCGAGGAGGGCAGATCACCTAAAGTCAAGAGTTTAACAAGAGCCTGACCAACATGGTGAAACTCCATCTTTACTAAAAATACAGGCGTGGTGGCAGGCGCCTGTAATCCCAGCTACTCAGGAGGCTGAGGCACAAGAATCTCTTGAACCTGGGAGGTGGAGGTTGCAGTCAGTCAAGATCATGCCACTGCACTCCAGCCTGGGTGACAGAGCAAGACTCAGTTTAAAAAAAAAATGCAAAAATAAACTACTGGGATTATAACAAACCAAAAACCTTCCCAGCAAAGGAAACAAATAGAGTTAAGAGACAAACTACAGAATGGGAGAAAATATTTGTAAGCTATTCATCTGACAAGGGATCAATATCCAAGGAACTCAAACATCTCAACAGAAAAAAATAACAGTATGATCAAAAAATGGCAAATGATTTAAACAGACATTCTCAAAACAAGACATACAAATGGCCAATAAATTGCTGAAAAAATGATCAATGTTACTAATCATCAGGAAAATGCAAACCAAAATCACAGTGAGATACCATCTCACCCCAGTTAGGATGGTCATTATCAGAAAGACAAAAAATAACGAATGCTGGTGAGGATGCAGGGAAACGGAAACTCTTATACACTGCTGGTGGGAATGTAAATTAGGACAGCCATATGGAAAACAGCATGGAGGTTCCTCAAAAAATTATAAATAGTACTACCATATGATCCAGCAATTTCACTACTGGGTACATACCCAAAGGAAAGGAAATCAATATATCAAAGAGATATGTGCAGCCAGGCGAAGTGGCTCACGCCTATAATCCCAGCACTTTGGGAGGCCAAGGTGGGCGGATCACAAGGTCAGGAGTTCAAGACCAACCTGGCCAACATGGAGAAACCCTGTCTCTACTAAAAATACAAAATTAACCAGGCATGGTGGCACATGCCTATAATTCCAGCTACTCAGGAGGCTGAGGCAGGAGAACTGCTTGAACCCAGAAGTGGAGGTTGCAGTGAGTCCAGATTGCGTCATTGCACTCCAGCCTGGGCAACAAGCATATGCAGAAGTTTTAAAAAGCTTACTCAAAGAAGTAAAAAGCAGAACAGGTTTCTAGAGGCTGGGAAGGGTAGAGCAAAGGTAAGGATAGGGAGAGATTTGTTAAAGGATACGAAATTACAGCTAGATAGGAGAAGCAAGTTATAGTGTTTCATAGCACCATAGGATGACTATAATTAACAATACACTTTCAAATAGCCAGAAAAGAAGATATTGAATGTTCCCAACCAAAAGAAGTGATACATGTTTGAGATGGCAGATATGCCCTGATCCAATCACTACACATTGTAAGTAGGTATGGAAACATCATTATGTACCCCATAAATATGGATAATTATTATGTGCCAATTAAAAATAAATTGTTACAAATCAGTGTAATACCATCATAGAGTTTGAAAAACAGGAAAAGAAATTGTCCATAATCCCCCTTTCACCCTAGCACAATTTCTATCATTTTCAATTTTTCTTTTTTTCCTTTGGAGACAGGGTCTTGCTCTGTCACCCAGGCTGGAATGCAGTGGCAAGATCATGGCTCACTGTAGCCTCAAACTCCTCGGGCTCAAGAGATTCTCCCACTTCAGCTTCCCAAGTAGCGCACGGCACTGTGCCAGGCTAATTTTTGTATTTTTGTAGAAACAAGGTTTTGCCATGTTGCCCAGGCTGGTCTGGAACTCCTGTGCTCAAGTGATCCGCCCACTTCCGCCTCCCAAAGTGCGGGGATTACATGTACGAGCCACCGCGCCTGGCCATTTTTTTATTTATCTACATATATACGTAATTTCACAGTTGAAAAGTCAATTACACAATTTTGTATATTTTTTTCTTCACTTATCATCATAAGGTTTTCTTCTTGTTGCCTCTCGGGGTTCCTAACTACACAACAGCTGCAGAATATTCTGTCAAGTGGATGGACCATCATTTAATGAACTATTCTAAAAGTATTGTTTCTAGTTTTCTATGCATTTGCCTTTTTTCCTGCCTTGGATTATAAAGTCCAATTGGGAGGCCGAGGCAGGCAGATCACTTAAGGTCAGGAGTTCAAGACCCACCTGGCCAACATGATGAAATCCCATCTCTACTAAAAATAAAAAAATTAGCCAGGCATGGTGGCATACGCCCATAGTCCCAGCTACTCGGGAGGCTGAGTCACGAGAATCGCTTGAACCCAGGAGGTGGAGGTTGCAGTGAGCTGAGATGGCGCCACTGCACTCCAGCCTGGGTGACAGAGTGAGACTCTCAAAAATAAAAAAAAAAATAATAATAAAGTGCCAGATATAAGATTATTGAGCTTAACAATAAAAACGTAGAGCCAGCAGGGTTCCTAACACTGGATGCTACACTGCTTCCCGAAGGGCTGAAACCTATGCCTACTGTACACTATTCACACTTGCCAAAGTACAGAATCAACCAAAGCAAATGCGGTGCACATACACAATGGAATACACTTTAGCAGTAACAAAGGATGAAATTCCGCAATTCGTGCCAGCATGGATGGAGCTGGAGGACACTGTGTTAAGCAAAATAACATGATGACAGCAATCAGAAATGAACCTGGACTCACTCTCTTCACGGCTCCTTCCCCGACACGCTTTAGCTGTCTCACTTCTGTTCTCAGCTCCTCACAGGACAGCCAAGGTGAGCAGTTTTTCATCTGCCCTATCCTGAAGTGACCATAGGGACAGTGTCTGGGGTCCACAATGGATTGTCGAGGAGCAATGAAGAAGTGGTCGAGGCAGAGGTAGAGCAGAGTATTCATCAGGGCCATGATCAGCAGCAGCCCAACGGCTGGTGGCACCTCTCGGGGGGCAAGGCCTCTCCTCTTGTTCTGGGGCTGCTTTTCCATGTTGACGGCCTCTGCAATTTCCTAAAATACACAATGAAACAAGAAGTCATGACAGTCAGCTTTCATTTCCAAGAATACGTCCAGATTCCTCTTCTACTCAAGGGTCCTGTAAGTTACAGCGTTACCGTGGGGATTAAAGCAGGTATCGAACACCAGGCTTATCCCAAATGCCCAATGTTAGCTGTTCCCATAATCATTACTTTTTATTACAAACTAAAATACGGGTTCCTCTAGATTAGGTTAGGTGGGAAGTGTTTGTGTCTAACTCTGTACGACTCACAGTAGCATGCATTGAATAGATGCTCATGAATATTCAGTAAAATGAAAGCAAAATGTATTAGTCAACTGGTGGGATGGGGACAGAGGGTACCAAAGAACAGCAGAAGGAGGCTGCTTAGGGTAGCAGGTGGAGGCTGGGAGGCTGAGGGCCTCTCTCGAACCCAGCTAAGCAGCTGTCCTGTTCCCTGGGAGGTACTCAGAATCCCCTGAACAGTTTTAAGAAATAAAAGCTACTCTTCAGCAGTTATGAAAGGTAGATTTGGGGTGAAAGAGACTGAGGCTGGGAGACCAGTTAAGAAGCCCTGGTTATGACTACGGACAGGAGCTGACAAGTACACGAGCTAGAATAACAGTGATGAGATTGGAGAGATGACCACTCAGAAGTCACACCAGTGATAAGGAACCACTGATAACATGTGGGCTCTACCGCTGGAGCTGTGCAAGGCCATGGTGGAGGGGCCTGGGTGCAGAGAGGCCTGAAGTAGGACTATGGGTGGCAGAGGTGATTTACAGAAGCAGAATGGAGCAGAATGGAAGCATATGGAGAGTTTAACAGTGGATGTGGCCATGCCATTGGGAGCCAGCTGAACAGCACTGGAATGCTGAAACACTGAGACAGAACTGGGTCAGAGACAGCTGCGACATGCAGGGTTACCTACCAAGCGCATCTCCTTCTCCAGCTCAGGTCTCCATCCAGGTACCTGGTCAGTCCATACTCTAGTTGGCGCCCAGGGACTGGTCTGGAAACACCCTGCCGCAAAGTACAAAACAGGAAGTATGTAAACAGAAACTGCAGCTATGTACCCAGACAAATCGCCATAGTCCAAACGGTCCAACTTTCCCAGGGCCCTCCTCCTGCTTCAAGTCCGGGTTTCCTCAAGTTCTCAAGTCCCAGGACAGAGCAGCGCCATGGGGAAGCCCATCAGAGTCTCTCTGTCCCAGTCTGCTCTCTTCGCCTCCATCACTGACTTGCGGTTGCTCATTCCTGTAACACGTCCTGAGCAGCTTCTATGTGCTCAGCCCTGCAGTGGGTGCTGGAGACACACACACAGTGAATTACACCAGCAAGGTTCCTATCCTGCTGGAGCTTAGGGGAAAGTCTAGTGGGGAAGACAGACAATAAACAAGTAAACAAATAGGTCTATCATCATCCTGTGATGGGGGTTCAAGGATAGAGAGTAACTGTGTAGGAATTCCCCGGAGGAAGCATCCCAGGAGACCTCTCTGAGGAGGTGACCTTCGCACTGCGACCAGAGGCCTGAGAGGAGCCAGCCATGAAAAATCCAGGATACTACCTCCTCCTTGAGAAAACAAAATCCACTCCCATTTCCAGAGCTGGGACAAGACACCAATGAAACCATTAACAGAAAACAGCATTTCTCCTAAGAACACACTAAGAACACACTGCAGCCATAAAGTGTCAAAAACCCCCTTTGGATTGAAGACTCCTTTTTTACTGTTTAGAAATTATGTTCTCTACAATCACAGACTACCAGAAATTTTGCAGTTTGAAGTCTTATCAACTGGAATAAAACATCCCACTCTTTCCTGGAGGATCAAAGTCACCCTGACACAGAGAAGCAACCTCAGTTTCCAAACAGGGCAGAGCTTCAGATAAGGAGTTTCTGGAGATAATCCTGTACATCTATGTTAATCTGGTAGTTTCTAAGGAAAGGGGACCACTTTGCAGTCCAGACTAGATCTTGGCCCCTTTACACTCAGTTCTACATGGCTTTGAGCCCATCAAAATACTACTTCATTTAAATTTGCCTACACTTCACTCATCTCCAAAATTCTATGATTTTCTTCCTTTTTTTTTTTCTTTTAGAGATAAGGTCTGACTATGTCACTCAGGCTGGAATGCAGTGGTGCAATCATAGCTCAATGCAGCCTCAAACTCAAGCAATCCTCTCACCTCTGCCTCCTGAGTAGCTGGGACTACAGGTGTGCATCACCACATCCAGCTAATTTTTGTATTTTTTTTTTTTTGTAGAGACTGGGTCTCATGATGTTGCCCAGGCTGGCCTTGAACTCCTGGCCTCAAGCAATCCTCCTGCCTCAGTCTCCCAAACTGCTGGGATTACAGGCATGAGCCACTGCACCTGGCCTTTTAAATTTATTTTTATCCCCTCCACGGCTCTACTCACCCCCTGCATCAGTATTCCCTGGAACCTCAACACATTCCAGTACCCCACAGACGCAAGCACACAAGCTCACACTGTTCTGGCGCTCCTGAGCGTACTCCAGACCTCACACTGCTGACTCTCCCAGCAATGGCACACATTTCAGTGCCTCTATGGCTCTAAACCCACAGTAGCTGCCTCTAGGACACCATAAATCATCTGGCTGCCCCTTCCTAGAGGGTCCTCATGCTCAGGGACACAAGTACACCTCACACCACCTTGACCCTCAGTGCACTGGGCCTCTGACGGTACCAAGACCCTTCCTGTACCACCACCCCATGCCCCACAGAGATCCACAATCCTCATCCCCGCCAGCACAGGCTGAGGTCTCCCACCGTCCTCCCTCCATCAGATCCCCCCATGAGGTCCCTCCAGCTCTGCTCCATTAGCATGCACTGGACTCCAACTACCCAGATATGCACATGCACACACCCACCACAGACGACCCCCACAAGTGCACACACAGCACTAGAATCCTTCAACCACCTCCCCTCCATAAGCACCCCATTCTCTCCTACCCTGCAGGCCCCCACAGACACACACACAACGCTAACATCACACACACCCTCATCACCACACACGAGGCTTCAGAAGCCTATTAGCACACATCCTGGTACCTCTACCACCCTATCCCCCAAAAGCCCACACTGGGCCTCTCTCCAGCCATAACCCTTATTAGCTTGCCTTGGAACTTCCTCAACACCCTACCCCTGTGACACACCCGTGGGTCCCTCACTTGCTCTGCTGCCCACTTCCCTAAGCACACACTGGGTCTTGAGCCTCCCCTGCCATAAGGCTCATCACCACATGCTCCAAGTCCTGCTCAGCCCAGGCCCCCAATGGCAAAGCTCCAGTCTCTCCCCACTCCACCACCCATTCCCACATCCTCTGTACCTCTGACCCCCTGCTCCCTATTAGCACTCATGCCACTTCCATCCCCAGCTCTCTGCACCGGGCCAGGTCAGAGAGGCCCCGAAGGACTCCTGCCCCATGCCCTCTCAGATGATTCTCTGTCCCTCTGATGGAGATATGTAAGTCCTGCCAGTGTGCAGCCTTGGTTATCGCAGTGAGTCAAAAAACATGACAGATGTGTCCCAAGTGGCCTTAGGCTAGCTGGAAGCTCACACTCTCCTTCTCCAAACATGTACCACCTCTTCCCCCACCTTCACTCTCAGCTGATCATCTAACGAGATCATCCTATTTTACCAGAAAAACAGAAGCAATCAGAGAGCATTTCCACCAGTTCCCAAGCCCCACCCCAGGTTCCTGCACTCTCCTATTACTACAAACTGTCTGTTACCATGAAACTGGCCCCGAGCCCAGCTCAAGCAAACCCCACCCCCAGCTCTGTCCTCTCATTCTCTCCAACTCACTGCCACTTCACCCAAACTGACCATATCACAGTCAGCACAGGTGACCTCCACATCACTAAACACAACAGTCAAAGCACAGCCCCAGTCTTCCTTGACCTATCAATAACATTACCGTGATTGATAACTCCCTCCTTAAACGCCTTTTATAATTGGTTTCCAGGAAACTACACTGGCAGCTCCTCATCTCTGAGTCCACTTAGTGGGGTCGCCCAGAGCTCAGAGCTCAGGCCTCTGCCACACTCCCTGGGAGAGCTCACCCAGACTCAGGACTTTTCATCACTGCCTGCTGATGACTTCCAAAGGTAAAACTCCATTCCCAGCCTCTCCTCAGAACTCAAGGCTTGCTTCCTTGACATCTCCATGTGGATGTCTGATGAACAACTCAAAAGATTCAAAAAACAACTCAATTTAAAAAATGGGCAAAGGGTCAGGCATTGGTGGCTCACACCTGTAATCCCAGCACTTTGGGGAGGCCGAGGCGGGAGGATCACTTGATCCTAGGAGTTCCAGACCAGCCAGGGCAACATAGTAAGACCTGCTGTCTACAAAATCTAAATTTAAAAATTAGCCAGGCATGTTGGCTTGTGCCTGTGTAGGCCCAACTACTCAGGAGGCTGAGGTGGGAGGATCATTTGAGTCCAGGAGACCAAGGCTGCAGTGAGCTGTGATCGTGCCACAGCACTCCAGCCTGGGTGACAGTGAGACCTTGTCTCAAAAAAATAAATAAAATTTTTTAAATGGGCAAAGAACTTGAATAGACATTTCTCCAAAGAAGATACACTGATAGCCAACAGGCACATGAAAGATGCTCAGCTTCACCAATCATCAAGGCAAACGCAGATCAGAAGTGTGACAAGATGGCATTTTACACCCATGAGGATGGCTATAATACAAAAATCAGTAAAAACACAAGTGTAGGGGGATGGGGAAAAACTGGAATCCTCAAACATCACTGGTGAGAAAGTAAAATGCAGCCACTGTGGAAAGCAGTCTGGCCGCTCCTCAAAAGGTTAAGCACAGTCACCACATGACCCAGCAACTCCACTGCCCAGTGTGTACCCATGAAAACACACATACTCACACACACACTTATACATGAATGTTCACGGAAGCATTATCCACAACAGCCAAACAGTGGGAACAAGCCAAGTGTCCACTGGCAGATGAATGGATACACAAAATGTGGTACATTCATAAATGGAATATTATTCAGCCATAAAAAATAAAGCACTAATTCATGCTGCAACATGGGTGAACTTTGGAAACATCATGCTCAGTGAAATAAGCCTGACAAAAAGGCCACATACTATATGATTCCATTTACATGAAATGTCCAGAAACAGCAAATTCAGACACAGAACGTAGATTTGTGGCTCCCAGAGGCTGGGGGGCAGGGGGTGGAATAGCTGCTGATGGGGATCGGGTCTCTTTTTAGCTAAAATGCTCTCGAATTAGACAGTGATGATGGTTGTATATGCTTGTGAATATACTAAGTATCACTGAATTGTACACTTTAAAATGTCAAATGTTATGGCTTGTGAATTATATTTTCGTTGAAGTCTCCCCTTAACATTTAAAAAGATAAAAGCATTCCCAGCTCTCAGGCTATGCAAAAACAAGCAGAAGCTGTGGTTGGCCAAGCCCTGCCTTAGGTGAAGGCATTCCTCCGGGTCTGCCAAAGGCCCAGGTAACCTCACCCATACCTGGGACACTAGCAGCCATCTGAACTCTGATGCTTTCTAAGTCTGCACTGCAGACTAGATCTCTCCTACGCTTTGCTCACTGGCCTATCAAGGTATGGGATGTCCACTGCAGAACTCCCCCATCCCTACATGACCCTCCCCCAGGGTTCCCTCTGTGATGGGCTCATGACCCAACCACCCGCTCAAGTTACAGACCAGGCGTGTGTGACTTGATTCCTCCCTCCCCTAACCTCCAAACCAACCAATTACCACATGCATTCAATGCTCCCACCAAAACCTCTCTCACAGCTGCTAGCATCTCTCCTTCCTTGTTGCCCTTACCCTCCACTCCCCTCCGTGAGCCAGCAGCACCTCTCACCTGGGTTTCCGCAAGAGATTCCCAAGCAGACGCCCAGTTTTTCCTCTCTTGCAGCCCATTCTCAGGATTACACAGCAAACAGGATCGTTTTTCTGTTTCACACACAGAGAAAAATTTTAAAAAATCATAAGCATTCATCCAGCTTTGTCAAGTTACATTGCATCATTTTTTCAGATCTTTTTTTAAAGAAATTAAATATTAAAAATAGAGTCGAAGCCCCTCTGGACTCCTCCCTATCCAATCCTACCCCCTCCCAAGAAGTGATCACTATCTTCAAGTTGGTGGACATCAGAGATTCTCAAACTGTGGTCGCCAGACCTGTGGCATCATCGTCCAGGAACCTGGGAGAAATGCAAATTCTTGGGTCCACACTCCAAACCTACTGAATCAGAAATGAAAATCTGTGTTTTAATAAATCCTTTAGGTGATTTGGATGCATGCTAAAGTCTGAAAACCACTAGTGTATATAATTCCTATACATGCTGTCTATCTATCTATCTATCTATCTAATCAATCATATCTATTTACCTACCTACTTACCTATCTACTAAAGACATGGAGCCTCACTATGTAGCCCAGGCTAGACTCAAGTGATCCTCCCGCCTCCACCTCCCAAGCAGCTGGGACTGACTACAGGGATGGGCTACCAAACTCCGCTTCCCATACATGCTTTTTATTTTCACAAGTATGTGCCCATAAATCATACATATGTTTTCAAGCTTCATACAAACAGTGATGGGCTGGTATTATCCTGTTGCAACTAGCTTTTTTAAAAGCTCAACATTACATTTCTGAGATTTATCCATGCAGATGTACAAAACTCCAGTTCACTATTTTCAACTGGTTTGACTTTTCCACAATTAGTGAGACAAGCTGTGTACACATCTCCCCAGACATACATGAAAGTTTCTCTGATACATGCAGGGAGCTATTTTTTTTTTTTTTTTTTTGAGACAGAGTCTCACTGTATCGCCAGGCTGGAGTGCTATGGCATTATCTCGGCTCACTGCAACCTCCAACTCCCTTGTTAAAAGGATTCTCCTGCCTCAGCCTCCTGAGTAGCTGGGATTACAGGCACGTCACCACGCCCAGCTACTAAAAATAGAGACGGAGTTTCACTATGTTGGCCAGATGGTCTCAATCTCCTGACCTCGTGACCCGCCCACCTCAGCTTCCCAAAGTGCTGGGATTACAAGCATGAGCCACCGTGTCCGTGTCCGGCCCATGCAGGGAGAGCTTCCTAAACTACTGATGTGATCCCACTTGGCTTAACATTCAACAGCCCCTGACTCAGCCCACAGGATCAAGTCCAAACTCTCATGTGGCCTCCTGAAATCTAGCCCCTATCTGCTTCTCTAAACCCTCCCTGCACCCCACTCTCTGGCCCCTGAGCTTTCCTCAGTCCTCAAAGGCTCCCTTTCTGGGATACCCAGGCCCCGGCCTCCTCTAAATTCTAAGCACCAAGAGGCCTGCCTGTCTGTCCTGTTCACCAGTGCACCCCAGTGCCTGGCACACAGTGGGTACTCAGCAAAGACACACAACTGCCTGGTCACTCTGCGCCTCTCCCTCTTCATGGCCTCAGCCATGAAGGCTGCTTTCCCTCTCCTGTGTTCACCCCACTGCATCCGCTCTTCCTCTCCTCACGGCTCCCGTTCTCTGAGGCCCCTCATCTGCCACCTCCTTCTTCAATCCAAGTTTCCCAGCTCAAACCCTATGGTAAATCCTTTCAACCCTCCAACCCTCCTTACCCCTAACCTCCCACCAATCCTTCCTTGCCACTAGGGGTGGATTCAGATTTTATGGGGCCTGAAGCTTATATAAGTTGGGACGACGAGTGGTAACTCTTTAAGAATACACAGTTATGAATGTAAAAGTGCTGAGCCCCTTGCCAGAGTTTTGGAAGGTATTTGAGCAAGTGAAGAGACTAGAAGCTTCATCATAAACCCAGATCTGCTTGTCATTCACCAGCCCCATGTAACTTGCCCTGTCCACTTCTTCATTTCCACTCAAAGGCTGCCAACATCAGCTACAAAACTCTGTGGGACTCTACAAATGCATATTTTCTAATCTGTGTTGGACCCTCAGCATTACTAAGAAAACCTTTAATGCATTTCTTGCTGAATACAAATTTTATATGCCCCACTAACCTTTTATGTATCCCTAAGTCCTCACATTCACTTCTGAATCCTCTCTCAGCAAAAAGAAACCAAACCAAAACGAAATAAAAAAAAAAAAAACTCAAAAATTCATTTGACTTTTATACAGTGTCAACTCCACACCAATTCTGGGAAGTGGATATAATTGTTGTTGTTTCCATTTCACAGATAAGACAACTGAGTCAGAGGTGAAGTAGTATGTCTAAGGTCACTATACACAGAAGAGCCAAGTTTTCTGGACTCAAGCCCATTTTTCCCCTAAATACCACAATGCTCAGGAGTTGAACTAAATCAAACCCAGTGTGGTCACCTAGGGGCTGGTCTAGGGGACCCTGGGACTGCCTGTTTCTTAAAGAAGACTTCAGCCCACCTCAGCCCCGATTTGCTTTTTTGTTTCTGAGCATATTCCGGAGTAGGCCGCCCAGAGCATAGCATGAGGCTGTATGGCTGAAGGAACTTTCGTGTCCAGAAATAAGCAAAAACCGCTGAAATTTACTGGTCCTGAAAACAGCCTGCACATTAAGGAATAAAGATGGTGGGGCAGGTTGGGCAGGAGAAATTCAGGCACGATTGATATACAAAGCATTTCTGACACTGATAGGCAGGCTTATTGATAGAGAAAAGCTTGGCTTAAAGAAAAAAGAAAAGGGACAAAACTAGTTTTTACCGACTTACAAGGTATTTTCTATAACTAGGGAAGACACAGAGTAGTGTCATCCAATGCAATTTACAGTAGAATTCCATTGTGCCAGTAAAGCACAAGGTACATTAGAAGGATTATTTTAAATATTCTTAATGCTTATTTAGCCTTAGGGTCCTACAGTAAAGGCAAAGGGTGACAAAGACAAGATTATGCAACAAAAGAGCAAAATTTTGCTTTCTAAAAAAAGAGAAGAATATGATTACACTTAACACCTCCTGGCAACAATGATCTCGTGCAGAATAAACACCCAAAGGCAAAGAGCTGAGACAGAGTTCTCGGTCCTTTCTGGTTTTTTTGTTTTTTGTTTTTTGTTTCGGTTTGGTTTGGTTTTTGTTTTTTTTAAACAGAGACAGCCTCTGCCGGACCCAGTAGCTCACGCCTGTAATCCCAGCACTTTGGGAGGCCGAGGTGGGCGGATCACCTGAGGTCAAGCGTTCGAGACCAGCCTGACCAACATGGTGATACTCCGTCTATACTAAAAATACAAAAATTAGTTGGGCGTGGTGACGGACGCCTTGTGATCCCAGGAGCCAAGACCGCGCCACTGCACTCCATTCTGGGCGACAGAGCGAGACTCCGTCTCAAATAATAATAATAATAATGATAATAAAGTAATAATAATAGAAACAGTCTCTCACTCTGTCCCCCAGTAGCGCGATTTCGGCTCACTGAAACCTCCGCCCCCGCCGGGTTCAAGCGATTCTCCCGCCTCAGCCTCCCGAGTAGTTGAGACTACAGGCGGCGCCACCGCGCCCGGCTAAATTTTTTTTTACAGAGACAGGAGTTCCGCCATGTTGCTCAGGCTGCACTCGCCTGAGCTCACGCGATCCTCCCGCCTCCGCCTCCCAAAGCGCTGGGGTTACAGACTGGAGCCACCTCGCCCGGCCCTTCTCGGGTTCTTTAACTTCCCGCTACCGCGCAGGGCTGGACGCGGAGGCGGGGGCTGGGCGCGGTGGACCCGGCCGCCCAGGCCAAGCGCAGCCTCCCAGGGAGCCTCCGCACAGGCGGCCGGCGCTGCGGGCCGGGCCACGTACAGGCCCCTCGAGAAGCCCAGCTGCACGCCCCCTCACCCCTTCGCCCTCTCGCCCCTCGCCCCAGCACCTACCTGCAGCCCAAGCTTCTGCGCCCCCTGCTACCCCAGGACAGCACGCACTGGGCCTACTGCGCTTGCGCGTTCAGAAGCGCGTCCTGGGCGGGCAAGTGTGACGCTGCTGCCCCCTGGCGTCCTCCTCAGGCCGCGCACTGAAGCCAGAGCTAACGCTTCGGCGGTACCAGCGTGCACCTACCCAGTCGCCCTCTCTGGCTTCTGCTTCCCGAACTTACGAGAATGATTTTGCATTGACCCACTATTGCTTCAGCCTGGAGCCAGGCCCATGCAGAGCAGCTGTCAGATCTAGACGCACTGCCAGGCCTTCCAAAGCGTATTTCTCAGATCCGCGGCATCTGCAGGGACCTTGCTGGAAAGGCTGATTCCCCACTCCGGCCCAGACCCACCACTCGCGGACCCAGATGCCTGAAATTGGACAATCACTCTGTAAAAGAAACTGTGGGGCTTAGCCCAGACAAAATAAAGCTGAGCTGCACACATCAAGCGCAGCAGACAAGACCTTGGCAAGCCTCCGCGGAGGGGCACGACTGGGCAAAGGCGGGGAAGTCCGTCGGCGCCGGCCGGGAGCCCCGCCGGGAGCCCAACACGCACTCGGGCACTTGCCCCGGGGAACCAAGAGGGAGGCTTGCAGCGTGGAAGTCAGGCTAGGGTCATGAAAAGTCTGGGTTGTGTACATTGGAAGCGTTAGCTGCTTCTACACTGACACACTGAGAAAGTCCAGAATTAAGAAACTAACATGGTGTGGGTTAAAAAAAAAAAAAACTGAGCCTGTACTAGCGATCCAAACAGTATTAAAATAACTACCAGAAACGTTTGCCTGTCACATGGACAAATAGCAAAAGAATGGTAACACCTCCTGTCGTTACAATAGAGTCTGAAAGTTTCCTCACACATACAAGTGAGTGTAAATTGGAATTCCTCCTACGGGACCTAGCAAATCCATTTCTAGGAATTTATCCTTCAGAAATAATATGTCTGCGGCAGGGGACCGTGGCTCACGCCTGTAATCCCAGTACTTTGGGAGGCCGAGGTGGGCACATCACGAGGTCAGGAGATCGAGACTATCCTGGCTAACACGGTGAAACCCAGTCTCTACTAAAAATACAAAAAAGTAGCCGGGCGTGGTGGCGGGCGTGAGAATGGCGTGAACCCGGGAGGCGGAGCTTGCAGTGAGCCTAGATAGCGCCACTGCACTCCAGCCTGGGCGACGACTCAGTCTCAAGAAAAACAAGAAAAAGAAAAAGAAATAATATATCTGCAAGATGTATACACAAGAGATCTTGCTGAAGCATTGCTGGTAAAAGATATTTATACTAGAGAAAAAAAAGAAACCTGAATGTATAACAATAGGGTTTTCTGAAAGAAATTATATTACACATAGCCATGAAAAATGCTGTCTAACGGGTGCACAGTTTCAGTGTGAGAAGACGGTAAAGTCCTGGAGATGGATGGGGGTGATGGTTGCACAACAATGTGAATATACTTAATTCCACTGAACTGTACACTGAATTGTTACAATGGTAAATTTTATGTATCTTTTACTACAATTTTTTAAAAGTTATGCTGTAGATCTATATATATTGACAGGAAAGGATATTCATAATATATGGCCAAGAGAGTAAGCAATGTCATTTTTTAAAACATGTATTTATAATCATAAATATACATATATATTCCAATGGTTACCTCCAATAAGTAGAATTTGGGGCAATTTAAATTCTCCTTTCTTCCTTATATTTATTTTTAAATGTTTATGTAATAGGTATTTCTCCATATATATGTATATACATACATGAACCATGAGCCTGCTAGCAGTATTAGACATGTATTTTGACATGTCTTAGAGGGAAGCCATTTAGAAGGATCATAAAACAAACCTATTAAATTAATAATAACTTTTAAAAAGAAAGTAGGCCAGGCGTGGTGGTTCACGCCTGTGATCCCAACACTTTGGGAGGCTGAGGCAGGTGGATCACTTGAGGTCAGGAGTTTAAGACCAGCCTGACCAACATG